CTCTATCCAACGAAAAATAATTTCACTCACATCTTCAGAGCACACAATACACTTTCCAGAATTGATTACTTTCTCATCTCCAGACCTTTATTACCACACCTCACCAAGGCAAATATTTTAGATATGCAATTCTTTGACCATGCACTGGTGGTAATCCAATTAAACACGGATGAGATTAAGAACAGCTTCTGGTCTTTAGACAGGCGACTCCTGGAGGAAGATCAGTTAATTAATTAACTTAAGGATGAAACTGAGGAATTAATTTATCACGGGGGGGGGGGGGCGGTGGGGGGTGATGTAATAAGAGTGTGCCATCTCCTGGATTATTGTGGGGGGTATATTACTTTATACAGGCTATGTTTATCTATAGTGGGCATTACAGCTGGGTGAAAGGTGATGGGGCGGATCCACCAGGGAAGCCTCTGGAATGTTCCCGAAGGTTCCAGGAGGGGCGTGGCCAGAGGCGGGGCTTAGCCTCCGGGGAGTGAATATAAGCCGGGGGCGCAGCAACGTTAGGGGTTGGTGTTCGAAGATCAAGAAGAGCTCCCCGTTGCTGCTGCCCCGCCGTCTCCCCTGCCCCGCCGTCTCCACCTGCCACATGGCGGCTCGACCTCCAGCTGCTCAGCCGCTCCCTAGCACGCCGTCAGCCAGCGGGTGTGTTAGTGAGCGCCACGCAGCGTGGGGCAGCATAGCCACCCAAGCGGGTGGACATCCACAGTGAGAGAGAGAGAAACAAGTCTGTACCGAAAATGTATTAATAAACAACTTCAAGTCTTTTACCGTGTCGGAGCCACTCATTACATACCTGCCGGGTACGAGTCTATTTTTCCGAGTTACTTTCCCCCGTGTCCCCAGCTGCCCACTTCTAGCCCCGCCTACTTCCCCCCCCCCAGCCTCACTTCTTCAACACAAATAAACTGTAATGATAATGGCGAGCGAGTGACCCCACGCAGATATCGGCAACAACACCCAACAACGCGGTGACTGCGGGCGACTGGCTGCAGGAGCCAATGGCAGAAATAATGGGGGCCACGTCACTGGTAGAAGGGCAGGTGAATGGGCGGTGTACCCGGATTCTGCTGGATACGGGGGAGGTAGCCTCACTCGTGAGTGCAACACACTGTAGCGTGGTCGGCGTTGACGTGGGCCACCGACATGCCACGGATCGCACGCTGTACACTGCAAGTGGAGCTGGGATGGGACTTCTGGGGATGGTCACCCTTGAGGTCCACCTCGGACACAATGTGTGTACCCAGGAGTTTTATGTGTCGAGTGTGTTATGCCACGAGTGTATTGCAGGTACTGACCTGTAAAAGTTGGGGCTCAACGTGCAGTCCCGCCAGCGATGCGCCACCATGGAGGGCAGCGGGGAGCAGATTCCATTCTTTGGACAGGCACCAAGTCGCCCCTGCTTCAAGTCCGTGGCTGCTATCCAGGCGTCGGCCCCCTCGCGAAGATGCTGTTGCCGGTAGCAAAGGCCCCCACCGACCCCTTTCACCGGCCATCGGGTGAGATAATGTTGACTCCTCACCTGGAGTTAGCGGTACGGTCCGGGGTTGGAGGGTCGGCCACGTTGGTAAACGCTGAGGGGGGCTGGCTGTTTATGTGAGTTTTTAACCCCCACAGTACCCCAGTAACACTGTAATGGCACACCACGGTAGCCACAGTATACCCCCTGCACGCACACCACTCTAGCAGCTCGGTGCTCACCCTCTGAACTGAGGACCCCTGCCGCCCCGAGGACAACCAGGACCTGACGTGGCGGGTCAGCCTGATTCCCAGAGCGGAGGTCATCTTCCTGCTTGACGCACTACAGGTACCCTGGGCGAATTTAACCAAGGTGGAGGCCGATCAGCTGCTCGGGTTACTACGGGAGTACGCCGACGTGTTTAGTGAGTACGATTCGGATGTTAACTGGACAGACCTCGTCAACCACCACATTGACACATATGCAGCCCAACCTATTAAACTCCCTGCATACCGAGTGGGCACACCCAAACGGGCCCAGATTAAAGAGGCGGTCACGGATATGCTCCTTGATTACATAATCCAGCCCTCAGCGAGCCCTTGGTTTGCCCCGGTTGTGCTGGTGATGAAAAAGTATGGGTTGACCCGGTTCTGCGTTGATTATCGAAATCTGAACGCGGTTATCCTCAGTGACGCCTTCCCCACCCCCCACATCGATGAGACCTTTGACAGCCTCGTGGGGGCATGGTATTTCTGCACCCTAGATCTCGCGTCCGGTACTGGCAGGTGGAGATGGCAGAGGAGGATCGGCCGAAGACCGCATTTACCACTCCGATGGGACTGTTCGAGTTCCGAGTGCTTCCGTTCGGACTCATTAACGCGCCTGCGACGTTCCAGCGGTTGATGGAAGAGCTTGCAGTGGGAACAGTGCCTGATTTATCTGGATGACGTGATAGTGTTCAGTAGGTCCCTGTCTGAACACTGCTGCCTTCTCAAGCTCAAACCGCGTAAGTGTTATATTGTGCAGCGCGAGGTGGGGTACCTCGGATACCGCGTCAGCAAGGCAGGGGTACGTACCAACTCGGAAAAGGTACGTGGCTGCGGCCGAGGAACCTGATGGAGATAAAGTCATCTTTTGGGCTAACCACTTATTATCGTCGATTTGTGAAGGAATTCAGCGAGATTGCACGTCCCCTAACCCAACTCACTTCCCCTAAGAACCCTTACCATTGGACGGAGGCCTGCCAGACGGCCTTCACCACCCTCAAAGACCACCTCACCCATACCTCCACCCTGGCTTTCCCTGACTTTTCCACAGATATTATCCTGACCACCAATGCCTGCAGCAGTGGGTTGGGTGCTGTGTTGTCACAGGTGCAGGATGGGGCAGAGCAGGTCATCACATACGCCAGCCGGACCCTGAGTGGAGCCAAACTGAACTATTTTGTGTCCCGTCAGGAATTGTATGTCGTAATTTTAACGTGCAAACAGTTCCGGCCGTATCTGTATGGCCGGAAATGTCTCGTGCGCACTGACCATTATTCTCTGCAGGTCCTCCTAACTTTTAAGGAACCACGGGGGCAGATGGCCCGGTGGCTGACGCAACTGCAGGAATATAACCTGCAGATCGAGTACAGGGCTGGACGAATGCACACAAACACGGACGTGTTGTCGAGATGACCTGCGGTGTGCTCCGAGATATGGGCTGAGGAGGCCTGCCCGTGCTTCACGGAGGGGGTGCTGCCGACAGGCAGTGGCCCCGAACCACGGCATACCACCCCACTGCGAATGGTATGGTGGAGCACATGAACCAGACCTTGGCCAGAAAGCTCAAATGTAGGGTGGCCGCCAATCAGCAGGAATGGGATGAATACCTCCCCTACGCACTGTTCGCCTATACCACCACGGTACACACATCTACGGGATAGACCCCGTTCCTAATGATGTTTGATCGTAAGTCTCGCCTACCGGCAGACCTGTTGTTCGGTGTTCTTCCACCACAACCGGAGGAAGGGAGCCAGCCCGTGGAGCACCTGATGGGGAGCCTGCGAGGGTCTCGTGGCTGGGCCTATCAACAGGGGAAGGCCGCGCATCAGCGGCAAGAGCAGGGCGCCTGTCCCCATGTAGAGCCCCTCTTCTACTCGACGAGCTCTAAGGTATGGCTGCATACCCCGCACATAGGGGCCGGACAGGTGGGGAAGCTGACCACCTATTGGCGAGGACCCTGAACCGTGGTGGCAGATCTCCCCCTGGACGGTACTGATCTAGGGCGGGGAATGGGGTCGAGAAACGGTGGTTAACATTCGCCGATTAAAACCCTGGAGGGAGGCCCCGGCGGGGGAAGCGCCCGCCCTTCAGGTACCCTGAAACCCCGGAACCCCCACACCCCCCATGCCCCCATACCCGATGGCTTCACACCATACAAGGGCCCCACTAGGCCCAAGTTCCCAGCCGACTCCGGCCTGGCAAGGAGGCAACGGGCGCGGCGGCACCTAAACCCATCTGCCCCTGAGTTTGTTCCCCAGCCAGCAGATGCCAAAGGGCAGGAGGCGCCTCTGGAATGGAGACAGAGACCACCGCAGGGGCCTTAAAAAGCTGAGCCACCACCCACGAAACCAGCAACAAGGGCTGGGTGGGTTCCACGCACGCCGCGGCGCTACCTGGTTGGAGCGACCCAGGCGAGGTGCTCCAGTCAAGCCCGGGACAGGGACGGGGATGGGTACCTCGGGGGGCTATGTGGTGCCGTGGCCGCAGAGCAACTCCGCAAGCGCCGCGACTCCCCCCTAGCCCCCACTCTGAGCACACACACACATGCAGCACACACACGTAGTGTCCCAGTAGGGGATTGCCTGGCATAACGGGTTTTCATCCGAAGGGCCCCTAGGAGGGAAGTCCCGAGGTTTCCCAAGTGACATTGCGGTGCCCCGAAATTGGCTTAAAATTGTATGGGCGCACAAAAGTTCACCGGGCCAGTCGCAATGAGTCATGCATGACATCGGGGAGGGGGCTGGGGTGAAATATTAAGCGAGCAGAGCAGATAATGAGGTCGGGGGATTCCAGCGCCACAGACCGAATGCACACTGGCTGGGTGTATATTCGCCAGCCGGACGCCCTTCCAGATTCAGGAATGAATGAGTACAGGTAACGCTCCATGCAAGGGAAGAAAAACAATTGAAACAGGTAGGCACACGATTGGCTGCGTAGGATAACATCACCCTGGATTTTTGAAGTGGAGGGGCATAAAAAGGGGAGGCAAAAACGTTTAAAACGGATCTCATCTTCAACAGCTTGGTCGCCAAGACCCCCCCCCCCTGCCATCCTGTCTCCTGGAGCCGCTCGCAGCATCTGTGTGATGCCAGCGAATGCTGCTACGAGGCAGTGATAGGCAAAGTTTTTTCGTCATCCTCCCTCCGACTCTCACAACGTCTTTGCGACGCCGTGAGTATAGCTGCGAGGTACGTGATAGGGCGTGTCAGTGTTTGGGGACTTGTGTAGTGGGTTCAACTGAGTCGCAGACGTACTTATTAGAGGCAACACATTTATTACACCAACACGTAATACACAAAGGGGTAGCTGCCCCCTTACCAGATAACAGCCTCGGGTGGTGGAATAGCCTTGGGTGGTGGACCACCCGGCTAAACTACACTAACACACTGGGAGTTAGCTACAATGGGCTGGACTCCGGCTCGGGTCCGGATCCATGTGTTGGAGACTCTTCTTCGACGTAAAACGTAGATCTTCAAATGACGGTAGCAACGCTGAATCCCGGTCCATGTGGGGACCCCGCTTTTATGCTCCCGGGTCATGGCTGGCCCCACCCTTGGCCTTGCCCACCTTCAAGAGAGTCATATTCTTAGGTTATTTCGGTAAAGTCACGTAGGTAAAAAATTAAAATTAATAAAAGTAAAATAAAATAAAAATCACAACTTTTCGGAGGCAACACAAGCTTCCGTCTTCAGGTGGAACCGTCACAGCACGCTTGCTGTATCAAGTAAATGAGAGTTTCCAAGAGATACTACCCCGTATATATACTGGTTGGGGGGGGGGGATGGGCCAGGACAGGCCCCCTTTTTATTATTATGGTAAGGTGCGGCTTGAGACTACGACTAGTCTACATAACAAAGGACTGAGCCTTTGTTATGTAGACTGGCTGAGAGGTGGGGGGGGGGGGGGGTGCCAGAGTTGTTAAAGTGCAACTGCTGCTAATGAGACCGAGCCTCTGCCATGTAGATGGTAAAAGCACAAAAGCAGGTCAGGAAGAAACAGCCTCCTGCTATGTTGTTTGGTGGGTAAAACTTATAGTGTCATCCACATACGTCTTCCACAGGGAAGGACACAGGGTGGATGTCTGGCTGGCGTCTGATTCAAACTTTTCCATGAACATGTTGGCTATCACTGGTGACAAGGGGGAGCCCATAGGGGTGCCCTCATTCTGTTTGTAGAAGGTGCCATTCCAGGTAAAATAAGTGTTGGTGAGGCAATGTCTAACCAGCACAGGTACATCCGAATTCAATCCATGTCATTTGGCCACATGGCCTCCCAGCATTGAACCACTTCTTGGACCACATCAATTCCAGACACCCATCCATCAGATTCACCATGGAAGTGGAGAAAGATGGTAAACTACCATTCTTAGATATTCTGTTTGAGAGGAGACCTGACGGATCCTTGGGACATTCTGTCTACAGGCAAGCCACCCACACAGATTCCTACTTGAAACCGGATTCCCACCACCACCCATCTCAAAATAATTCTCTCATCAAAACGCTATACCACAGAGCTCATGGCATTTCTGACCAACACCACATGGCCAGTGAATTAAGACATGTACATCGGGCCCTCAGGATGAACGGATACTCTGACCGCACCATCCGCCAAGCTGTTTCTCCCACCATACAAAAACAGCCACATGAAACTCCGATCAAAACTATCACGTTGCCATACATAGCAGGCATGACCAAAAAGATCTCCAACATTCTAAACAAACATAAGATCCAAGTCCGATTCAGTACAGTGCATAAAATCCGTGATCTGATTCCATCTGTGAAGGATGTCGTTCCTGACTTACAGTACCCTGGATTCTACAAACTGAGTTGCAGTTGTGGTGATTGCTACATTGGAGAAACGAAACGTCATGTCTCTGATCGTGTCCGCGAGCACAAGTCAGATCTGAAACATGGCAGAACTGATTCTTCAGCCGTTGCCGATCATTGCTACAACTCTGTGGGCTCTCATGAAATTGTCTTTTCCGAGACCAAGGTACTCTGCAAACCTCCTGGCTACCATCAAAGGTTTGTACACGAAGCCATACAAATATACAAACACGGACATAATTTCAACCGTGATGATGGGTACAAACTGAGTAATCATTGGAAAGATGTGATTAACCATGCAAAGAAGATTTAACTACACATATTTGGACCATCTTATTTGACAGACAACTATTCTTGAGTTACTGTACAGGTTACTGATAGACAGCCAGTTTTGTTTTACCATGTTTAGCTTCTTTTTTCACACACTGGTTTCCTGCTATAAGTTTTACCCACCAAGCAACATAGCAGGAGGCTGTTTCTTCCTGACCTGCTTTTGTGCTTTTGTAACGTTCTTGAAGAAGATAGACTTCTTAGAGGCCACACGCTTTTATTCACCAATACTTACTACACCTAACACAAGGGGTATACGGTCCCCTTACCCGTTATCCTGAGGAGCTACAGACTCCGGACTTGCCGGCTATCTCCCCCGCTAGCCTAGCGTCCTCCAGCTGGGACCTAGGGGAGGCACACTGACCCGCCGGTGGTCCGGCGGGTCCCCGACCTCTGGTCGCTCGAGACCTTTGCCCTCACAAGGGCGGGAAGGCTGGGAGCCAGGGTCCTATCCAGGACCTATCTCCCCTGACCACTGGTTACACTGAGCCCCAGCCCTGACAAGGGCTAGAAGGCTTGGTCCAGGGTCCTAGCTGTCTTTAGCCGACTGGGGTCTTCGTGTAGCAGAACTAACCAGAGCTCTCAGCGCTCCGGCTTTTATACCTGTTCGTCGCCGAGTTAACCAATCCCCGGCCACCTCTTGGACCCCGCCGATTGGTCCTTCCCAATCTGGCGTTTGGATCCTACCTCACCCCTATTTGACCCTAACTGTTTGATTGAGCGGGAAAACCTTGTTTACCAACTGCTCTCTCACAGCTTGCGAACAGCGAGTAGTTATCACCACTACACTTTTACCATCTCCATGGCAGAGACTCGGTCTCATTAGCAGCAGTTGCACTTTAACAACTCTGGCACCCCCCCCCCCCCCTCTCAGCCAGTCTACATAACAAAGGCTCAGTCCTTTGTTTTGTAGACTATCCGTAGTCTCAAGCCGCACCTTACCATAATAAAGGCTCAGTTCTTTGTTATGTAGAATAGCCGTAGTCTCAAGCTGCACCTTACCATAATAATAAAAAGGGGGCCTGTCCTGGTCTACCCCCCCCCCCTCAACCAGTATATATACGGGGTAGTATCTCTTGGAATCTCTCATTTACTTGATACAGCACCCGTGAACCACGGGATCTCCTCCACAACCACACCTCCCACCTTCAACGTGTAACGACGCTCGTGAGCTCAATTATGGCCCAGATCAGCCAATGACCGCTACGACTCAAGGAGCACAATAAGCAACTGACATCGTGGGAGCGTGTGTGCAAGGGGAGCGAGTCTGTGATGCCGGGCCCCCAGGGGAGGTGGGCTCGCTCACCCTGGAGGTCCCAGGGGGAATGTGCCATTGTTCCGCCGAACCCGGCTCCTCATGAAGAGCAGTAGGCCGAGCCGACGGGTCCTCCGTGCTTGAAGCCCGCAGAGCCGGCATGCGCGGCTGTTCGGGAGACGTCAGTCGCGCAGCACCTGGGGGCGGAAAAGAATCGCTCCGCTGAGGACCAACCTCAGCGGGCACACACCCCGGCTCATCGAACACATTCGACACTCGACCCCTGCGATGGGTCTAATTGTTCACGCTCAACTGACTTTGGCTGTAATTGGCCACGGTCCCTTACGTTGTAGCAAGCCTCGGGGCCACTTCCTGGAGTCGTGGAGTTCTGCCATTACTAGTGTAGGGGTGTTACGGGAGGGCAAACAAACACACAAGGGGTGTTTGCGCCCGCACGCGTAAGGGTGCCTACATCCACATCCACAACGGTTAGCCCTGGGGGACTGTGACGGCGCTGTGATCCCCCACAGCCCCACCCCTCGGGGGGGAATTGCTATATAAGGCGGGGAGCCGGTGTGCTCGGGGTCGAGTATTACAGCTTAACCAGCGAAGAGCGAAGACCAGCAGGATAGGCCCTGGGACTCCCCTAGCTCGCTGTCCTTCTAAGGACCGACCAAGGCAAGCCAGCGGCGCGGCCCTGAGAGCCCAGAGCCGATGCTCTTGTAAGAGCCAGTCTGGTTGGCTAAGGGTGCCGAAATCCTAGCTTGGCCAGAGCTGGATCAGCTAGCCTCCCCTAGCTCTCTAGTGGAGGACCTGGGAGCAGACTAGCCGGGCTAGCTCTAAGGGTGTCTCCCTGTTAGACGGGTGAAGGGGCCGTTACCCCTTCAAGTATTGTGTTCTGCTCTTTGGTTGAATAAGTGTGCCTCCGACTACGTAGTCTACGTCTCCTTGAACTCACTACACTAGTACATTTTACTGGTAGGAACGAAGTGAACCAGCCTACAATAGATTATATCGTCCGTCCGTCTGTCCGTCCGTCCGTGTAGCAACATCGCCCCCTACTGCAAACACTTGGCAGGACCCTACAAAAACCTTTAGACTCAGTGATGCTTTCCTGGCTAAACAAGTGTAACATTCCCTTATAATTCCCTGAGATAGCTTTTAATTAAAACATTTAAACTAATTAGGCTTTCCTGGCTAAACAAGTGTAACATTCCCTTATAATTCCCTGAGATAGCTTTTAATTAAAACATTTAAATTAAAATTTAACTCACAGCGGCCTAAAGCCTACAGCTAGGCCTAAAGCCTAGAACTAGGCCTCAAACTCTCCCTTCGTATCGTACCCCCGCGTGTGTGCAAGGGAGTTAATGTTTAACAATGTTACATTCCCTAATGTTTTTAAATAGAAACATTTAAATTTAAAGCTTTTACATAAATAATCAAAACATTTAAATTAAAAATTAACTCACAGCGGCCTAAAGCCTACAGCTAGGCCTAAAGGCTAGAACTAGGCCTCAAACTCTCCCTTCGTATCGTCCGATTAGGTGTAGCAACATCGCCCCCTACTGCAAACACTTGGCAGGACCCTACAAAACCCTTTAGACTCAGTGGGGCTTTCCTGGCTAAACAAGTGTAATAATACATTATGTTTATATTCTTTGGTTATTCGTTCCTACCAGCCCACCCCGCAGGGTCCTGTTATAAAAACGTGTTTTTAATCAAGTTTGTTTTAATATTATGTATTAAATGTATGCCACGGACTGTGCCACGGAGCTTTAAGCGGTAAACAAGGTACCGTATTTACCAGGTAATACTTCGCGCCACCTTTACCCTAACGTGTAATTCTTCCGAGTTACCTTTACCTTACCCTTTACCTTACCCTTTACCTTACCCCTTGGCATGTCGACACCTTTACCCTTTTATCCGGTAAAAAGGGTAAATTACCTTACCTTGCCGAGGCCTAAGCCGGCACGACACAGCAACCCACCCTGTGCTGTCCGCGACGTAGGAACATCGCACGCCACGACCCTCCCGATGTCACTACATATCTGTACCCCACTCACGCCCCCTCCCTTCACTCACCCCTCCCTTCACTCAACTTCCCCCCCTCCCTTCACTCATCCCCCCTCCCTTCACTCATCCCCCCTCCCTTCACCCATCCCCCCTCCCTTCACTCATCCCCCCTCCCTTCACCCATCCCCCCTCCCTTCACCCATCCCCCCTCCCTTCACCCATCCCCCCTCCCTTCACCCATCCCCCCTCCCTTCACCCATCCCCCCTCCCTTCACTCATCCCCCCTCCCTTCACTCATCCCCCCTCCCTTCACCCATCCCCCTCCCTTCACCCATCCCCCCTCCCTTCACCCATCCCCCTCCCTTCACCCATCCCCCCCTCCCTTCACCCTTCCCCCCTCCCTTCACTCATCCCCCCTCCCTTCACCCATCCCCCCTCCCTTCACCCATCCCCCCTCCCTTCACCCATCCCCCCTCCCTTCACTCATCCCCCCTCCCTTCACTCATCCCCCCTCCCTTCACTCATCCCCCTCCTTTCACTCATCCCCCCTCCCTTCACTCATCCCCCCTCCCTTCACTCATCCCCCCTCCCTTCACTCATCCCCCCTCCCTTCACCCATCCCCCCTCCCTTCACTCATCCCCCCTCCCTTCACTCATCCCCCCTCCCTTCACTCATCCCCCCTCCCTTCACTCATCCCCCCTCCCTTCACTCATCCCCCCTCCCTTCACTCATCCCCCCTCCCTTCACTCATCCCCCCTCCCTTCACTCATCCCCCCTCCCTTCACTCCATCCCCCCTCCCTTCACTCATCCCCCCTCCCTTCACTCATCCCCCCTCCCTTCACCCATCCCCCCTCCCTTCACCCATCCCCCCTCCCTTCACTCATCCCCCTCTCTTCACTCATCCCCCCTCCCTTCACTCCTCCCCCCTCCCTTCACCCATCCCCCCTCCCTTCACCCATCCCCCCTCCCTTCACTCATCCCCCCTCCCTTCACTCATCCCCCCTCCCTTCACTCATCCCCCCTCCCTTCACTCATCCCCCCTCCCTTCACCCATCCCCCCTCCCTTCACTCATCCCCCCTCCCTTCACTCATCCCCCCTCCCTTCACCCATCCCCCCTCCCTTCACCCATCCCCCCTCCCTTCACTCATCCCCCCTCTCTTCACTCATCCCCCCTCCCTTCACTCATCCCCCCTCCTTCACCCATCCCCCCTCCCTTCACCCATCCCCCCTCCCTTCACTCATCCCCCTCCCTTCACTCATCCCCCCTCCCTTCACTCATCCCCCCTCCCTTCACTCATCCCCCCTCCCTTCACTCATCCCCCCTCCCTTCACCCATCCCCCCTCCCTTCACTCATCCCCCCTCCCTTCACTCATCCCCCCTCCCTTCACTCATCCCCCTCCCTTCACCCATCCCCCCTCCCTTCACTCATCCCCCCTCCCTTCACTCATCCCCCCTCCCTTCACCCATCCCCCCTCCCTTCACTCATCCCCCCTCCCTTCACTCATCCCCCCTCCCTTCACTCATCCCCCCTCCCTTCACCCATCCCCCCTCCCTTCACTCATCCCCCCCTCCCTTCACTCATCCCCCTCCCTTCACTCATCCCCCCTCCCTTCACCCATCCCCCCCTCCCTTCACCCATCCCCCCTCCCTTCACTCATCCCCCCTCCCTTCACTCATCCCCCCTCCCTTCACTCATCCCCCCCTCCCTTCACCCATCCCCCCCTCCCTTCACTCATCCCCCCTCCCTTCACTCATCCCCCCTCCCTTCACTCAGCCCCTCCCTTCACTCATCCCCCTCCCTTCACTCAGCCCCCCTCCCTTCACTCATCCCCCCTCCCTTCACCTCATCCCCCTCCCTTCACTCATCCCCCCTCCCTTCACTCATCCCCCCTCCCTTCACTCATCCCCCCTCCCTTCACTCATCCCCCCTCCCTTCACTCATCCCCCCTCCCTTCACTCATCCCCCCTCCCTTCACTCATCCCCCTCCCTTCACTCATCCCCCCTCCCTTCACTCATCCCCCCTCCCTTCACCATCCCCCCTCCCTTCACCTCATCCCCCCTCCCTTCACTCATTCCCCCCTCCCTTCACTCATCCCCCCTCCCTTCACTCATCCCCCCTCCCTTCACTCATCCCCCCTCCCTTCAACTCATCCCCCTCCCTTCACTCATCCCCCCTCCCTTCACTCCATCCCCCCCTCCCTTCACCCATCCCCCCTCCCTTCACCCATCCCCCCTCCCTTCACTCATCCCCCCTCCCTTCACCCATCCCCCCTCCCTTCACCAGCCCCTCACTTCACCCATCCCCCTCCCTTCACTCATCCCCCCTCCCTTCACCCATCCCCCCTCCCTTCACTCATCCCCCCTCCCTTCACTCATCCCCCCTCCCTTCACTCATCCCCCCTCCCTTCACTCATCCCCCCTCCCTTCACCATCCCCCCTCCCTTCACTCATCCCCCCTCCCTTCACTCATCCCCCCTCCCTTCACTCATCCCCCCTCCCTTCACTCATCCCCCTCCCTTCACCCATCCCCCCTCCCTTCACTCATCCCCCCTCCCTTCACCCATCCCCCCCTCCCTTCACTCATCCCCCTCTCTTCACTTCCCCCCTTTCACTCACCCACCCTCCCTTCACTCACCCCCTCCCTTCACCCCCCCTCCCTTCACTCACCCCCTCCCTTCACTCCCTCCCTTCACACCCCCCCCCCTCACTTCACCCCCCCTCCCTTCACCCCCCCCCCTCCCTTCACCCCCCCTCCCTTCACCCCCCCCCTCCCTTCACCCCCCCCTCCCTTCACCCCCCCTCCCTTCCTCTCTCCCTTTCACCACTCCCCCTGCCTTCACCCCCCCTCCTTCACCCCCCCTTCCCCCCCCCCTCCCTTCACCCCCCCCCTTCACCCCCCCCTTCACTCCCCTCCCTTCACCCCCTCCCTTCACCCCCCCCCTCCCTTCACCCCCCCCCTCCCTTCACCCCCCCCTCCCTTCACACCCCCCCCCTCCCTTCACCCCCCCCTCCTTCAACCCCCCCTCCCTTCACTCTCCCCCTTCACTTCACTCCCTCCCTGCCTTCACCCCCTTCCTTCACCCCCCTCCCTCACCCCCCCTCCCTTCACTCCCCCCCCTCCCTTCACTCATCCCCGCCTCCCTTCACCCATCCCCCCTCCCTTCAACCCATCCCCCCTCCCTTCACCCATCCCCCCCTCCCTTCACGCATCCCCCCTCCCTTCACTCATCCCCCCTCCCTTCACTCATCCCCCTCCCTTCACTCATCCCCCCTCCTTCACTCATCCCCCCTCCCTTCACTCATCCCCCCTCCCTTCACTCATCCCCCCCTCCCTTCACTCATCCCCCCTCCCTTCACTCATCCCCCCCCCTTCATCATCCCCCCTCCCTTCACTCATCCCCCCTCCCTTCACTCAGCCCCCTCCCTTCACTCATCCCCCTCACTCATCCCCTTCCCCCTTCCCCTCCCCCCTCCCTTCACTCATCCCCCCTCCCTTCACTCATCCCCCTCCCTTCACTCATCCCCCCTCCCTTCACCCATCCCCCCTCCCTTCACTCATCCCCCTCCCTTCACTCATCCCCCCTCCCTTCACTCATCCCCCCTCCCTTCACTCATCCCCCCTCCCTTCACCCATCCCCCCTCCCTTCACTCATCCCCCCTCCCTTCACTCATCCCCCCTCCCTTCACTCATCCCCCCTCCCTTCACCCATCCCCCCTCCCTTCACTCATCCCCCCTCCCTTCACCCATCCCCCCTCCCTTCACTCATCCCCCCTCCCTTCACTCATCCCCCCTCCCTTCACTCATCCCCCCTCCCTTCACTCATCCCCCCTCCCTTCACTCATCCCCCCCTCCCTTCACTCATCCCCCCTCCCTTCACTCATCCCCCCTCCCTTCACTCATCCCCCCTCCCTTCACTCATCCACCCTCTCTTCACTTCCCCCTTTCACTCACCCACCCTCCCTTCACCTCACCCCTCCCTTCACCCCCCCTCCCTTCACCCCCCTCCCTTCACTCCCCTCCTTCACACCCCCCCCCTCCCTTCACCCCCCCCTCCCTTCACCCCCCCCCCTCCCTTCACCCCCCCTCCCTTCACCCCCCCCCTCCCTTCACCCCCCCTCCCTTCACCCCCCCTCCCTTCACTCTCTCCTTTCACTCACTCCCCCTGCCTTCACCCCCCTTCCTTCACCCCCCCTTCCCCCCCCCCTCCCTTCACCCCCCTCCCTTCAAACCCCTCCTCCCTTCACCTCCCCTCCCTTCACACCCCCCCCTCCCTTCACCCCCCCCCTCCCTTCACATCACCCCCCCCTCCCTTCACCCCCCCCCCTCCCTTCACCCCCCCCCGCCCTTCACCCCCCCCTCCCTCACCCCCCCTCCCTTCACTCTCTCCCTTTCACTCACTCCCCCTGCCTTCACCCCCCCTTCCTTCACCCCCCCTCCCTTCACCCCCCCCCTCCCTTCACCCCCCCTCCCTTCACTCTCTCCCTTTCACTCACTCCCCCTGCCTTCACCCCCCTGCCTTCACCCCCCCTCCCTTCACCCCCCCTCCTTCACCCCCCCCTCCCTTCACTCTCTCCCTTCACTCACTCCCCCTGCCTTCACCCCCCTTCCTTCACCCCCCCTCCCTTCACCCCCCCTCCCTTCACCCCCCTCCCTTCACTCTCTCCCTTTCACTCACTCCCCCTGCCTTCACCCCCCTGCCTTCACCCCCCCTTCACCCCCCCCCTCCCTTCAACCCCCCTCCCTTCACCCCCTCCCTTCACTCCCCTCCCTTCACACCCCCCCTCCCTTCACCCCCCCCCCTCCTTCACCCCCCCCCTCCCTCATCACCCCCCCCCCTCCCTTCACCCCCCCCCCTCCCTTCACCCCCCCTCCCTTCACCCCCCCTCCCTTCACTCTCTCTCCCTTTCACTCACTCCCCCTGCCTTCACCCCCCTTCCTTCACCCCCCCTCCCTTCAACCCCCCCCCCTCCCTTCACCCCCCCTCCCTTCACTCTCTCCCTTTCACTCACTCCCCCTGCCTTCACC